ATACATAAAATTGTAAAAACAAAACATTAACAAAAATATATAAATACAGTACTGAACAGTAAAACACATTTAATATTTATTAGTAAAAACTTTAATTGATAATCTACCTATAAACTGGAGAATAGGCGAAATGAGATGTATGCCATCTAAAGCCTTTTTCTTACTAAGTTAATGATACATGCTTACTAATTGAAAGTTGTAGAGCTCGTTGAGACGCATCTAACAGTGGTTAGATCATCCAAATCAGACCAGTGGATGGTGAAATATTATCGAAATACGATTGGTCGACTATATAAAAATCCGTACCGGAAATTATATATAAAAATCACCATTGGTGAAACGTGGCATGCTCCCATCTAAAACTTTTTTTCTTACTAAGTTAATGATATATGCACATTAATTAAAAGTTGTAGAGCTTGTCAAGATGCATCTAACAGTGATTAGATCATCCAAATCGGCCCAGTAGATGGTGAGATATCATCGAAAAATGATTGGCCAACTATATAAAATCTCTATATAAACAAGCATTGTTTACATAGAGATTTTATATAGTCAGCCAATCGTTTTTTGATGATATCTCACCATCTACTAGGCCGATTTGGATGATTTAACTACCATTAGATTTGTCTCGATGAGCTCTATAACTTTAATTAGAGACTTAAAGATGATTAATATAGTACAAAAAAAAGTTTTCATTGGACAATCACTAGAAAATTTCTACTTTCGCACTTATAGTAATTTATATATAGAACTGCGTCACGTTTCACTATGATCATTCTTCAGTTGACTGAAGAATCGTCAATTAAAAACTATCTATTAAAGGCTTTTTTTTTTAAATGCAAGTAAATTTGATTCAAATACTACATTGTTCTTAATTTCCGGTGGATTGGATCTGATAACTAAAGTTTCTTAAATTTAGATAGATTGTATTCAAGACTACTAATAACAATTTCTTTAAATTTTGAATTAGTTTAAATATTTTTAATGCTTGTTATTAGAGTAAATATTAGTGAATGATCTTTATGGATATAACAAGTTAATTGGTTAGTTATGATAGCTATATGCAGATTAAAACCACATAGCAAATTAGTATAGTAATTATCTTTTAGTTTATATAAATTTGGTTTCTACAAAATGTTTTTTTTTAAATGCAAGTAAATTTGATTTAAATACTACTATTGTTTTTAATTTCTAATAGATTGGATCTAATAACTAAAATAGGTGGATTGTATTCAAGACTATTAATAACAAATTTTTAAATTTGAGTTAGTTAAATGTTTTTAATACTTGTTATTAGAGTAAATATTGGTGAATGATCTTTGCAGATATAACAAGCTAATTGGTTAGTTATAATAGCTATATGCAGGTTAGAGGTATATAGCAAATTAATATAGTAACTATCTTTTAGTTTGATTTAAAAACTATCTACAAAAGGGGTGTGGCGACTTAGTGAAGTGGTGAAGTTGTCGCACCCCCAAGCAGCAGGACCAGAGTTCGAATCCTACTGGCGATGAAATTCAAATTTACGGAAAATGCATTTGGACGACTGTATCCTATTAGGTTATAGAACCTGTAACGGAGTCACACCAGCTTGTACTGGGAGGCAGTGGAACGATAAGTGTAATGCACAAGTTGCACGGCTGTGAAGCTGCCAAATAAATCCAGCGGATTAACGGGATACAAGAGCCTGCTTGGGAAGACCCGAACAGAGAGGTAGCACAGATCTTTAATAGTATTATCTAATAATCCGAAAAGGGTGAACCAGACGGCAGGAAAAGAGAGAACCAAACAGCAGGAAAAGGTGGAACTGGACGGGACCGAAGTGTTTAGCAAGACACTCCACCAACCAGGCTGCCGGCTGAGTAACCAGAGGAAAAGAACCCAATTGTGGGTACCAGGGGCAGGTTACAGCCCTTCCGGGCTATCTGGATTGGAAGTTTGGTGAACCAGAAGTAGGGCTTAGTTTGAAAACCGGAAGTAAGGCTTAGTTTGGGAAACCGGAAGTATGGGTTGTTAAGTATGTACTGGGGTTTGAGCGAACTTTGCAAGGGCAAGGAGTAGGTAATGGTAGCAGCTTCGGCTCGCAAGTACTTGGTCTCGGCCTAGGCATAAGTTATCGAAAATACTAGATGATACATGTGTGGGACATGGACCGCTCTAGTAGGTTTACCACAAAGTCAAAAGACCCCCCTATATGAAAGTGTGTGTCCGCTTTAAAGACTTAGCAGGCCTTAGCAGCAGGTTCCTCTTTAGAGAAGATATCCGATGGCGTGAAGTTGATCAGAGAGTTTAAATGGGTAATTTCATAGTTAGGTTACAGGTACGGTGTCTAGTGTAGATCTAGGATAGGCAGACTACTTAAATAGATGCTCAAAAGGCGCAGATATGGCTAGAATGTACTCTTGTTAATGTAACAAAATCAGGCACTGTCCATGTGACTATGCTGGTATCGAAACTAAAGTTTAATAAAAGTGCCAGACCTGTGAGTGATCATCTTAACATTTAAAAAAAAAAAAAAAAAAAAAAAAAAAAAAAAAACTATCTACAAAATGTTTTTTTTTAAATGCAAGTATATTTGGTTCAAATACTACTATAGTTCTTAATTTCCAGTGGATTGGATTTGGTAACTGAAGTCTCTTTAATTAGAGTAGATTGTATTCAAAGACTACTAATAACAAATTTTCTAATTTTTGAATTAGTTCAAATGTTTCTAATATTTGTTATTAGAGTAAATGTTGATAAATGATCTTTATAAATATAACAAATTAATTAGTTAATTATGACAGCTATGTGTGGGTTAGAGGTATATGGCATAGTTTATATAGATTTGGTTTAAAAATTACTTACAAAATGTTTTTTAAATACAGTAAATTTGGTTCAAATACTACTATTGTTACTTTTCATAGATTGGATCTGGTAACTGAAGTCTCTTAAATTAAAGCGAATTGTATTCAAATAATATTTTCTAAATGTTAAATTGGTTTAATCATTTGTTATTAAAGTAAATGATAATGAATGACCTTTATGAATGTAACAAGTTAATTGGTTGGTTATAACAGCTATGCGCTAATTAAGAGTGCATAGCAAATTAGGTTTTTTGTTTAAGAAAATTATGAATTTGGTTTAAAAACTACTTGAATAATGCTTTTTTTTCAATTGTTAAAAAAATAAAGCACATTTTAGGTAAATGCATTAATAGATATTATATGCATAAAATGGTATTATACATATGAAATTGCATTAACTCTTTTTTAGCTAGTAATAATGTTTTAAGCATTATTTTGAAATACATTATTTTAAAAAAGTTAAATTTAAAACATTAATATAAGTGTTGTTAATAGAAAATCTGCAATTAGGCTTTTAATATACAGTTGCTTTCTACATGCCATTATGGACAATCTATAAATTCTTTTCTCATTTATAATTACTAATTTACAATCGATCATTACATTTGTTATGCACTTAAGAACTACATTAATCGATGCTTACATTTCTTATGCTTATAACGATCAAGCCACAGGATTTAGTGATGATACCCGGGTCAGATATTATCCGGTTATCTGCAGATAATCGGATATCCAGGTTGTATACTCAGCTATCTGGATAAACATACCCGGATAATATCCGGGTAGATATACCAGAATAATACTCAAGTAGATAAGCACAGAGGGCTGCTATTTTCATAATTTCTGGAACACCTGATAAAAATTGACCGAATGATACTCCAGCCGATTCGATTAAGTTTGTAGTTTTGAAATAATAGATTCAATAAAAATATAAAATTGTATGTATGCACGTAAGTACATATGTACATACGTAACTTTTACATTAGCAATTAAATAGTGCGAAAGTTTTATCAGCACTACTAGACTTTATATATTAGCTTTACGAAGTTTTTGGCCAACGCTATTTACATACAAATATTATATGCCAGTTATATGTAAAATTACGCAAATTTTACCCTGTATATAAAAGCTATGATACTAGTTCTGCAGATAATTTTAAATGCTGACATGTTTAGTATTATTAAATTTTCATTTGAACACTTGCCCAACAGCTTAGTTTGTGTGGAAACATATATATATAATCAAATTACAATGTATATGTATATAACATAATTTAGACTTAATCGGAATGGCTGAAAAATCATTCGGGTGTTTCAAGAATTTTGTAAATATTTAATCATTACGGTTACGAATAATCTCAATTAATCAATGATATTTTAGCATATAACGGGATGATCTACAAAAATTAGCCAATCGGAATGAAAGCCCGCTATGTTTACCCGGGTAGAATTTTATACCCAGATATATCTATCGATCATTCGGATAACCTGCCAGATATATCCGTCAAATATCCGGATAGCATTTTTTTGATCGGGTATTATTACTACACAGGATTGAATAACATTGTAGTTATTTTGGGCTCATAGATGTAATAGTTTTTAAAATTAGGCCCTTTTATATGATTATTTTTAATTTGAGCCCGTATTTGTAATTATTTTCACTTTCTGGGCCCTTATTTGTAAATTCACCAAAATTTTATCATTTCGTGCAAACTGAGCTTCCAGAATTCGATCTGATGATTCAGATTCAGACCTGCAAAGCACTAATACAAAATACAATACAAGCAAAATTACAATACGAGCAAATTTTCTTAGTACATCGGTTAGCAGGTTTATTAAGATTTTCAGGCATAATTAATTTAATACAGAATAGATTATATGTTACACACAAACTATATCAATATATTAATTTTCAAATAACTCATATTTTAATATATATATTTATTAACTAATAAAAAGTAACTTAGCATATTTTATTTAATTATATACTAATTATATTAAAGTTTCTGTAAATTACAATTGATAGTTAGAAAATAAAATATATGAGAGTAATAAAAAAAAAAGTATATGCAATAAATCGCACCAAGAGCTCTTCATTAGTTATATGCTTTATATTAGTCAGATTGTCCTACCAGCATACTATTGTGCTAATGTTTCAAAAATCCCAGTCGTGACAAAAATGAACAACACGAAGACCTTTTTTGAGTTTCCAATCTGCAGGCCAATGAGGATTCTTGGTATAATTATCTTCACACGTGAAATGAATTAGCCACACTTCACTTGCCGAGAGCAATTTTGAATAATTTAGAGCTCTAGTAAAATGTTCGTTAAGGTCCTTCTTTCTTGCTGTTGCCGACAGTTCCAAGACAATGGTCGAATTAGACGACTTTATTACTATATCAGCGTACTTATGATTGCCATTCTTATTTAATATGTGGTACTGTCCTATTACTTCATATCCTTTTATACCTAGAAAGTCGACTAGGACATGATAAAGTTCCGAATCGTAACAGCTTTTGCGGAGAACTTTATAGCCTTTTGTGGCTTGTACCAAACATGCGCTGTCTTAAATGAACGGTTAGTCTTCTTTCTGAAAATACATCTATTGAATTGATGAATCACTTGTTTTATTAATTCATATATGTCTACGACTTCTGTTGTGACCGTAACCATTTCTTCAGCAACCCTTTTATTGGGTCCTTGCTTATCAACGTTTTTTCTTTTTTTGTCGCGTTGTTCATCTTTATTCAAAAAATATTAATATATAAAGATAAATGATACATAATTTATCATAACTTACAAGATATCGCGTTCTCCTCATCAGAATCTTTTAACTCCTCCAACTCACTAATCATGCCTTTCCAATATGCCTTGATACTCTTTGTTGACCTTTCATTTTTTGTCAGTTTAAGAATTATTAGAATAATAAAGTTAGAAGTGTATCGATCTTACTTAGTAATAATAGGAAGGATTGTAATAAAAAAAAAATACCTTCTCCTTTAATTCATTATAATCATTTTGGTTTCGTAACCTCTTTGCTTCCCTCAAAAATCGATCAAACCAATAGGTGTTGCACTCTTCAGGTGTTTGGGTGGATATTGAATTAAGGATCACTTTCCAGTAGCGAAGAAGAAATCCTTCATATGAAGGTTTTTTTTGCTTTGTAAGGTAGGAAACTAATTCTAGGAGTTAAATAGATTAAAAATTAATGAGAACTTTAACTATTAAGAAAGTGCAAATGACAAATAAACAAGCTTACTATTTTTTCTGACGTAGTTCATGTTTAGGAAAGAGGTGTCACGCGTTTGAAAATCAAAAAAAATTGGTACATACTGTTACTATTGTTTTGGGAGAGCGTATAGAACTATCGGCAGAGTTTAGCTCCAATAGTTAACTTATATGTTCTTTGTATAGAACTCAAGATATTTTACTAATAAATAAATGCGATTATAGTAATAACTCAAACACGTGAGGTTACGTAATTAATCTGTGATCAGGGCACTTAATTATATCTACTGGTAATTAATTAGGTAAATAAATCAGATTATGTAAGCGTAATTAAATAAATCAGTAATATCAATAGTTAATCAATATGACCGATATTAAGGGTCGAAACTTATAAGATAACAAAGTAACAGAGTAATCGGGTAATAAGGTACTAACAGAAAAATATATAATATGATCGTGAAGAGTCTTCACGGTTAAACTAAGGAAATAAATACAACAATACAATGATAACTCATATAACATCAATTCGAGAAATCAATTCTTAATACTCCTATATTAAAGACAATGAAATCTAAAGCTTTATTTGAAGAGCGAAAAGACAGCTCTTTTATACTTTCGAAATACATAAAATAAGGCTTTTACATATTCTTGGGTTTATTTCTATTTGTTGGGCCCGACCAGGACCTTCTACCAGGCTTATCTTTACTAATTTTACCTTTCTTGGACTCCTAACTAAGCTTTGGTACTGGTCGGTACCTTCCAAAGGCTTTTCTCTGTAACTAACCTTTCTACGCTAACTTTAGCTTACTTCTGTGCCTCAATATAACAAACATACTATAAACAAATAAAAAGAATCTATAGATATAAAAATAAACAAAGATGACGAATAAGATAAATATTTGTATAAATCTAAACTTCCAAGCTTTCGCCACAACCCAGCCTTACAGTATACACGTTCTCGTTACTACAAGTCACGATTTTTCAAAGAAAAAGCGTGACAATATGTTCTGTATTGGTACTACGTGTGATATCCCTACTTTGTCACATATATTATCAAATTAAATGCAGGATTTTGTGGACACGCACCACTTTATTTGCATACACTTCGTTAAATTTTTAATATCACTCCATTCTTAGAATACTGTGTTTACGTTTCTACGTAGCTTTAGTGCGGCGGCATTTCGCAGCTACTTTATATATTAATTAATTTGAAACAATTTTTAACTTTCAACACTAGCAATCCAAAAATACATAAGGAAATTTTAAAAAAAAAACCACCAAAATTTTTATAAACACATGGCTAAACTAATCAAGCTCTAGTACACTAATGGATGTTCTACTAAAGAATTGGAATTTGACAAGAAATCTTTGGAATTGTGACTTTTTATGTGATAATTTTTAAAATTTAAGGAAATTTTGTAATTGGCGATCATCTGCCGATTACAGTAGTTTTGAAAAGCACAATAATTTTAACGTTAATTAGTTCTGGTCTACTTTCCGAGCTAGAAGATATCACCTAAGGTGAAAATTAGTAAGTCTTTTTTTTTTTAAGTACTTTAGGCTGTATAAAAAAATAATAAAATTATATGATAGTTTTGTACTAATGAAAATGGAATGAAAGAACCATTTTTGGTAGCAGACAAGTTTAGTCAGGAGATACAAGATCAGTCACCTTGTTTTTCTTCTGTAAATTGATTTTTAAACAGCCAATCATATAAGTCTTTCTATGACATTAACATTGTTAAATAATACAAACAAAAAAATAGATATTTAGAACAGGCTTCTGATTTCATATTGCAGATAATTTTGAGCAAAAACAGTGAATACAATGAAGCAATATTGTAGATCATTTTGGCCAAAAAACAATAAATACATTGATTTCTAATTACGTGGCAAGTTTAAAATTATGTTTGACCTAGGATTCACAAATTTAGTGTGGATCTAAGTACGTACGTACGTACGTTGTGAAAGTGTAAAAATGTGGGCTGCGTCAGCAAGATTACTAGGTCGATATAGAATAACTCATTACTCAAAATACCAATACTAATTAAGATACTCTAACCAGAGCTTTTAACCAAACCCTAATATTGGTAAGGTAACGATTGAGGTGTGGAAAGACTTGGTCTGAGTAACCAGGGTTAATTGGGTTGGTAGAATTAGTGTTATACTCAGATAAGTGTTCTCTTAGTTTCTTAATAAGTCCTTTATTTCCTTTAACATCTTCGCTAATACTATATTTCTTTTTGTAGGTACCGGAGTGTCTACAGACACGTACCAATCACGTGATAATTCATCTTATGGACGCAAAAGTATAGATCTGCAAAATGTACCCCTGATTTATGTTACGTTCTTAATGCATTTAGTACTATGCAGGGTGCATTGTATGACAAATAATATAAACTTATTTTTAAAATACTATTTATTAACTGATGAAATGCGATGTAGCATATTTTTTTCAATTGATCGATTTTTATATAAATTAAAAAAAAATCAATTTTTTTTTTATATAAATATAAAACAATCAATTTTTTTCAAATGATGTTAAATTAACAAATATGAAGTTATAATAACCTATATTGTAATCACAAGCATATATTCTATTTACACTATTAGTTGTATTTTTGCTTACACTTGCTTGTGCCATTACTAACACTGTTATTTATATCATCACTTATATTATTGTTTGCACTCACCTCTTACATTGTTCTTATATTACTATACATTAATTAAGAAATAGTTATAATAATGATGTTAAAAAACTAAATAGTTTTTAATAATAATAATATTGTTTCTGTTTTATTTGGATGTGTAGCAGAATTATATCTATTGCATTATACTCTTTTAAAAAATACCTGCTTGAAGTTCTAAAGCCATTTACAAACTCTATAATTAATTAAAAAAGAATTAATAAAACTTTGTCATGTTGAGAGTGCTACTGATTTTTTAAAGTAGAAAATTGCTAAAAATAAAAATCAACTAATTATATTAATAACATTATCAAACTTATAGATAAAAGTTAAAAATAGATATAGAATATTTAAACTAGCCTTAAAAAAGACAAATTATATTAGTTTTAGATTATGTATTATGCAAACAATGAAAATGATTACCAATATAAGTGTAGAGGTATTGAAAATATCTGTTTAACTATCCAAATTACAACTTATATAATAATTTATAAAATAAGAATAATATGCATTGTTGTTTAGTTTATGTTTACTTATTTTTAATTCAAGCTATCCACTTTGAATCAAAATAAAAGACATATATCTTCTTACTAATATAATAAATAATGTTGTTTTAAAAATTTTAAAAATTAATCTAATGTAAAAAGTTTAAGATAAAATTATTGTTAATCATTATGCTGATCATTGATCAATAAAAAGAATTAAAAGAAGTTATTAGTTTTATTAAATAGTGCTAAAAAAGAAGAATTAGATAATTCATTATCAAATAGCTATAAAATTTGTAGCAATATAAAATTAAAACAATGATAAATATTTAAATAACTAGAACTTGCATATGTGAGCGGCTTCACCGCCCATTTCAGCTGACTTATCTTACAGACTAGTACGTGATCATGTAGCAGCTTCGCCACCAACTAATTATTAGATATAACAGGATATGGTATTAACAGACACTGCAATTTGATAATACATGATTAATTGAAATCAAAAAATATATATTAAGATGATATTCTATTTGTTTTTTTTATAGTTTTTTTGTTTTGCTTGAGTTTTAAGTTTTTTATATTTTGCCTCATTTCGCTCACTTAGGTTTAAACTCTACAATTTTTTTTACCATATTTCAACAATCATTAATTGATAATTTAAAGTTTTAATCAAGTTTCACAATAATGTAGATGCAATTTAAACATATATACTAGAACTTTATATGTAGGAGTTTTGCCAGTCAGTTTTAGCTAACTAATAATTAGAAGATCATGTGTAGCAGTAAAACAATTAATATTTAAAATTCTCTCTCTTTAACGAAATAGAACACAGATATATAAAGCTAGTTTTGAAAATAACCAATGCAATAACTTTTGGCCTCAATTAAAGCACAGTTTTATATTTGTTATGTTCTGCCTTACTTCACTCGGTGTTGTTTTAAATTTTAAAGATATCGATCGCACTACATTGTAGATTCAGATTTTAATCAAGACTAGCGAACAACTTGTTGTAACCCGTTGTAATAGGAAATACTCAATAGTCAGCATGTGAGATGGCATTAGCAAAACTATTTCAGGTTTGACTCGAGGTGAAACATAGGTATTGAAAAATCTAAATGAAGCTGATAGTCATGTAAATAAGTATCATTAATTATAAATGCTGGCAGTAAGATACTGGTTCTTAAACTAAATCTTTTTTGCTTTTTTGAGTAGGCTTCACTGTATCTTATGGTTTTATTGTATTTTGGTTGTAGAGTAGTGATGATTTGAAATCAATTTACCAAAATTAGACAAAGCAGACAGATTTTAAAATAAATATTTGGCTACTTCCGTATCTATACCAAAATTCTGAAAGTTAAAATCTCTAACTTAATTGTCTCGTCATGTGATGTCAGATTGCTATTTTTTTTATTACCAAAATCGTTAGCTCATTTACTGTTAAATTACAAATCTACT